TCCTCAACAAAATTTTAGCAAATCGGGTCCACCATTACATTAGAAAGATCATACACCATGACCAAGTAGGATTTATTCCAGGAATGCAAGGCTGGTACAATATCGGCTAATCAATAAATGTGATATGTCACATAAGCAAATTGAGAGACAAAAATCACATAATCATATCAATTGATGCAGAAAAGGCATTTGACAAAATTCAACACCTTTTCCTGATAAAAACTCTCAGCAAAGTAGGAATAGAGGGATCATACTTCAACATAATAAAAGCCTTAAATGATAAACTACAGTCAACTCAATGGACAAAAACTAAAACCATTTCCCCCAAGAACAGGAACAAGACAGGAATGCCCACTTTCAGCCCTCCTGTTCAACATAGTACTGGAAGTGCTAGCCATAGTGATCAGACAAGAAGACATAAAAGGCATCCAAATTGGAAAAGAAGTAAAATTGTCATTATTCGCAGATGACATGATATGGTACATAGAAAACCCTAAAGAATCCATCAAAAAACTACTAGACTTAATAAATGAATTTGGCAATGTAGTAGGATACAAAATTAACACCCAGAAATCTATGGCTTTTTTTATACACCAATAATGACCTCACAGAAAGAGAAACTAAACAAACAAACAAACAAAAGAAAAAACCCAACAACAATCCATTTATCATTGCAACAAAAAAAAATATACTTAGGAATAAACTGAACCAAGGAGGTAAAAGACCTATATTCAGAAAATAACAGAAAGTTGAAAAAAGAGATAGAGGAAGACATAAACAAATGGAGGAATATACCATGTCCATGGATTGGTAGAATCAACATCATTAAAATGTCCATACTACCCAAAGCAATCTACAGATTCAATGCAATCCCCATTAAAATACCAATGACATATTTCAAAGACCTAGAACATACTCTCCAAAAATCCATCTGCAACAAAAAGAGATCCCAAATAGCTGCAGCAATCTTGAGAAAGAAGAACAAAGTAGGAGGGATCACAATACCAAGATATATTACATATCTCTTGATATATGTAATATATCAAGCTATATTACAAAGCCACTGTTCTCAAAACTGCCTGATACTGGCACACAAACAGACATATAGACCAATGGAATAGAACAGAGAACCCAGAAATCAACCCAGGCCATTATGCTCAATTAATATTTGACAAAGGAGACAAGAGAATACATGAGTCAAGACTGTCTCTTCAATAAATAGTGTTGGGAAAATTGGACAGATACATGCAAAAAAATGAAACTAGACCACCAATTTACAACCTACACGAAAATAAACTCAAAATGGGTAAAGGACTTAAACGTAAGATAGGAAACCATAAAAATCTTAGAAGAATCCATAGGCAGCAAAATAGCAGACATGTGTTGTAGCAATATCTTTACCTATATAGCTCCCAGGACAATGGAAACTAAGGAGAAAATAAATAAATGGGACTACATCATAATAAAAAGCTTCTGCACAGCAAAAGAAACCATCAACAAAACAATAAGAAAGCCCACTGCATGAGAGAACATATTTGCCAATGTTATCTCCGATAAGGATTTAATCTCCAAAATTTATAGGGAACTCATACAACTTAACAAGAGGAAGAAAAACATTCCAATAAAAAAATGGGAAAAGGACCTAAATAGACAATTTTCAAAAGAGGCCATACAGAAGGCCAAGAGACGCATGAAAACATGCTCAAAGTCACTAATCATCCCAGAGAGGCAAATCAAAACAACAATGAAGTACCATCTCACACCTGTCAGAATGGCTATCATCAACAAATTAACAGACAACATGTGCTGGCAAGAATATGGAGAAAAAGAAACCCTCTTGCCTTGCTGGTGGGAATGCAGACTGGTGTAGCCACTGTGAACAGTATGATGCTTCCTCAAAAAATTAAAAATGGAACACCCATTTGACCCAGTAATCCTACCTCTAGGACTATATCCCAAGAAACCAGAAAAACCAATCAGAAAGGATATATGCACCCCTATATTCACAGCAGCACAATTTACAATAGCTAAGATTTGGAAACAGCCTAAGTGCCCATCAGCAGACAAGTAGATTAGAAAATTGTGGTACATCTACACAATAGAATACTATGCTGCTGTAAAAAAGAAGGAATTCCTACCATTTGCAACAACATGGATGGAACTGGAGATCATTATGCTAAGCAAAATAAGCCAGTCAGAGAAAGATAAATATCACATGATCTCACTCATTTATGCAATATAATGAACAGCATTATAAACTGATGAACAAAAATAGAACCAGAGACATAGAAACATCAAACAGACTGTCCAATCTATGAAGGAAGGCGGGGAATGAGGCGTGGTTGTATGCATGCATATGAGCATGACCAATGGACACAGACAGTCCGGGGGTGAGGGCATGTGCTGGGGAGTGGGAGCAGCTGGGGAGAGGTCAATGGGGGAAAAGGAGACTCATGTAAAACTTTAAACAATAACGAATTTAAAAATAAATAAATAAAAGGGAAAAAAAGAACACCGTGTCACCAATTGAAAGAAAACCCAATATATAAATATCTTTTATGAGGTCTTTCAAAGGTTAATCATACAGTATAGGAAAATATAGAGGATAGAGTGACTTCCTCAGGACCAATATGGCCTGATCTGAGGAAAGTAAAATAGGATTTGACGTGTAGTGAAAATTCTATAGTTTATAACTGGGATTAAGATCACACATAGAAAAAAATAAGATGTCTATATATTTAAAGGTATAAACCTTGTATTCTTCTACAGGAGTTACAAAGAAATGGCTCTTCAATTGGTAGAGGCAGGCATCATTATTGCTGTCAAGATACTGGACCCAGGAAGGGTGAGTGAGAGAAGCAGACTTACTAAGTGGTGCCTCAGAGGAGGAGGCTGAGAGCAAGCAGTGAAGAAGTACAGAAGTACAGGGAAAGACAGAGGGAGAGGGACAGCACAGAAGGAAATGCATTCAAGTGCACAAGGTGCAGGGAGATGGCTTAGAGTCTCTGGCCATCTAGAGGATTCTCTCTTCTTCCCAGTCCCTTTATTAGGAACACTGGAGCCTGCCTCACATTGGGGAAGTAGAGTTCCCCAAATTTTTGAATGTGGTGACCCTGGAAAAGAGGAATCACAGGGAAGGTTCTAGAAAGGAAGGGTGGGAAGGTACAGCAAATGGTTCCTAATGTGAGCATATCAGCAGCATTTTAGTCTTGGTTGATGTAGAGAAAAATAGAAGACACCAGAGCAGACCTGTGGTCAACAGGATGGAGAAATGGGGTGAAGCATGTGCCTGAGGAGAGTGAATTAGCTGGTGGGGGAGTGGGCATGTAGGATGTTGGGTTAATCTAATATGGAAAATGCTTGGGACAAATTATACATCTTTGCTGTATCATTATCGACTTTGATGATGTTGGGAGCAGCAGGGAACCTGGGAAAATCCCATGGACAGGAGGGTAAATAGATAGTAAAGTTAGCTTTGGGGATGCAGTTTAACTGAGACGAGGTTTACTAAGTAATACGGAATTATTGACTTAAGGCGGGTTCTTGAGAATGAACACTGTGTTCCTTCCCTCAGGACACCTGCTCCCACAGCTGGGATGTGGAGGACTTGCCAGGACAACACTAACACCCAGGATGGAGGCTAAACTGAGCTCACTTGCCACAGTGCTTCCCAGAAAGGAATGGTACAGCAATATAAAGAGAGAAGGCTCCTTCTTAGAGCAGAGTTAATGCCATGGGAGCAGCCGTTTCCCTCACTGGCATGGACGAGGAACTGTTGAGGGCAAGAATGCATCTCTGAGATTAGAAGGCAGCCCCCAAGCTGGGATGAAGGCCCAGTTCTTGCTTGAAGATGATGATTTGGCAAAATACGGAAAGTCCCTGGGAAGCTGTAGCTGTGGTTGGAAGCAATTAGGAGGGATGGGACAGTCTCCTTCTCTGTCTTCTTCCTCCGCAACAAGAATACTTTGATTCCAAAAAAGCACAAGAAAATCTCAAAGCTGTTCAAGGAGGAAGATATTCTGGGCAACACCAGGAAAGTCACCTCAATGTAGGAAGGACTTAGTGAGGAGAAAAGGGAGCGATATGTGCAGCTGCTGGAGGACGTCAGAAAAGAAGCTGTGACACCCTCGGCCTCAGGCAGCATCCCCATGACTTGGATCCAGAGTAGTCTGGCTGCAACACAGCATCCAGGGACAGGGACCTTCCACGTGAAGCCACATGGGGAGAAGGCAGCGAAGCAAAGCCGGTACCAAGAGCATACAGGGGAACTGAATGTGCTGCATAAATGTGAGGTTCCCGAAGAAGGCAGACATCAACTCTGCCTTTCACCAGCCCCTTCAAGAGAAGGAGAGAGAAGAGGAAAAGGAAGGAAGATTCCCTAAAGTCCGACCTGAGGAAAGCAGCTGTTAGCACTTATGACCAAGTCAAATCTGCTGAAGAGGAAAGAGCCCTGTGTCCAGGATTTTGAATGGGATACAGACCAATAAACTAATCTATGGTGTGGATTTCTCTGTTTCTACACATGAGACTCTTTTAAAAGGTAATTGCTAACTATATATATCAGTGGATAGACAAAGATGGGAAGACACTTGGAATTTTTTTCTGCAGAATAGAAATGAGGACTTCTACATATAAAGGTACCGCTTTGATAATAGCATAAGTCTCCTGTAGTCACATTTCTAAGTGATACTCAAATATGTTATACCAATTTTCATTATAAAGTCGCACAATACAGAAAGGACTTGCCAAGCTTGACAAAAGCATACAGATAAGAAGACATTGTCAAATGCTCAGAAACAAGCAGCCTCAAAGCAGAGCAGGGACAATGACAGTGACCACAAGCTTGCCCTCCCACGTTGGCTTGTATTGGTTGCCTGTGTTAAATGTTAAAGCTCTGAGAAAAGGGGAGTGGCTTCTCTCCCTAAAATGAGGGCCATATGCAGACATTTTAGAAACGAACCAGAGCCCCCAGAGCTGGCAGACACCAGTGTGACGCTGCCATGGGCCCTCAGCTCCTGGGCTGTGTCATGCTTTGTCTACTGGGAGCAGGTGAGTTCCAGAACACTTGGCAACCTTTGGCCAAAGCTTGCAGGTCTTAGCTGGAGTCCCTTCCTAGAGGCAACAGCACAGGCACCCTCCTCGGCTACCTCTAGCTCTGTCTCCTCTGCTCACAGGTCCCACAGAAGCCGAAGTGACCCAGACCCCAAGACACCTCATCACAGAGACCAAAAAGAAGTTGACAGTGACTTGTTCTCAGAATATGGACCACGAATTGATGTACTGGTATCGACAAGACCCAGGGCTGGGTCTAAAGCTGATCTATTATTCAATTAATGTTGATCATTTTGAAAAGGGAGAGGTTTCTGATGGGTACAAGGTGTCTCGAACAGAGAAGGGGAATTTCCCACTGACCCTGGAGTCAGCCAACATCAGCCAGACCTCTCTGTATCTCTGTGCCAGCAGGTAACCACAGCACTGCATGGCCAGCTGCTCTCCACACAAAAAAGGCAGCCACAGAGCAAGGAGGCTCCTCCCTCGGGAGGCCCCACCTAACCAGGAGGAAAACCTTCCCCCACCATCAGTGCCCATAGAAGTCCCTCCCAAGTCCCCAGCTTCTGGGGCTCTGAGGGATGCAGACCCTCTGCAGTGTGTCCTGCTCTCACTTGTTGTACCAATGAGCTTGTCAAAGGCCAGGCAGGACAAGCTAACTGTGCTTGGGCTAGAGCTGGGGTAAGGGATTCCTTTCCTAGACAAGGAATCTTATACACTCTGCCATCCTTTCTCCTTACTGACCTTCACTGTTGCACAAAGAACAGTCCATACCAATCCAAGTACTCGACAACATGTTGTCCCATATCATAGATCCTATTCCTGGGTGTTTTGTCACCAGGGAAATAGCACGTTCTGAGTCTTTTGCTAAATCTGACATCTCAGCAAAGTGTCTTGCTGTCCACCAAAATGCCTGAGCCAGAGATGTCCTCTCCTTCCAAACCTAAGCTGTGGCCACACCCTCCACATTTCTAAATATTAAATTCTTTGCAAATTTTATTAATTTTTCTAACCTCATTGATAACATCATGGTCCAGCAAACCTCATCTCTCATCTGGATTCCTTAACCACCTTTCAAGTAGTCACTCACCTTTCTAGTTTGCTACCTGGTTCAATCCACAATCTATTCTCTTGAGCTTAAAACCCATCAGGGTCTTCCATTTACCAGCTAAAGTCTCATGCTTAAGTTACTTCACAAGCCTCTCAGCTCCTTCTAATGATGTGGTGTTTGCATACCTGCTTACCATCCTAACGTGAACTTCCTCTTTCTACAGTTACCGCAACTGCCTTCCTTTCTACCAGATGTATTCCACCTCTCTCAGGTGACCACCTATATCCTATGCTGACTCACTCCTGGCTCATCACCTATAGTGTTCATCTTACCTGGAGCCCTTCCTCTTCCTCTTTACCTGGATATCTACTAATAACAATTCTTCTGCATATGAATTGAGAAGTCATTTCCTCCAGGAAAATGTCCTTGAATTCCTGAGTAGTTTGGTTAGTTCCTCTGCTGGGTGCTTGTATGACAGCCTGAACCTCTATCCTCATGGCAACTAACCCACTCAATTGTTTGTAATTTAAAATTTACACTAATAATAGACATTGAGGTTGATGAGAACAAGGACCATGCCTATATTGTTTACTTTTAAAAAATATTCACCCTTATCAGAGTGCCTGAAAAAAGTGGTATTAAGTGAATGAGTAAATTAATCTTCTCTTAGATCAGCTCCCCAGCACCCCTCTCACTGGTCCAGAAGCTAAGCCCCCTGCAAAGTTTTCTCCCATACACTTTGGGAAGATTCCAGGGGCTTTCACGTGTGTATATAAAGAACACAAATCATGTTTCTAGTGGGGTTTATTCTTCCTCTACTCCAGCCTTGGGTTTATTCTGTGCCATATGTCACCCTGACAAGGATTTGTTAATTCTCTTGGGTGCCACTGTACTGTGGGATCCTCTTCTTTTCCCGATCGGCCCTAAACTACCTGCCTGACACTGCTGAGGCTCCTGTTCTATACCTTTTATTCACCAGGCAATGCAATCTGGCAGACCCTATTGTTGCTCCCAGCAGGTTCTACCATCACTCCAGGTGTAGTTGACAGCGAAGAGGTCGCTCAATTAGTGAAAAACAAGAGAAAAGCTTTTCCTTTTCTTTCTCTGTGTTGAAGGGGCAAGATTGCAGTTCTGTTTCTTTAAAAAATATATATTTTTATTAATTTCAGAGAGAATGGGACATGGAAAGAAAGTTAGAAACATCAATGATGAGAGAATCATTGTTTGTCAGCTACCCATATGCCCCCTACTGGGGATTGAGCCCGCAACCCAGGCATATGCCCAATACCTGAATCGAATGGGGGACCCTTCAGTCTGCAGGCCAACACTCTATCCACTGAGCCAAACTGGCTAGGGCTGCAGTTCTGTTTCTTGATCCCTAATGTCTAGCAGAGACTGAAGCGCAAAGTCTCACTGAATCACATACATTCCTCTAAACAGTCACTCAAATTGTAATTATAACATGGAATTGGGGAATGCAGAGAACCTCATCCAGGATACAAATTCTGGCAACAAAAACCCAGCTGTGCTCCGAATCAACTCATCCCTCCAAGAGTCATGGTTTTGTGAGTGGGTTGGTCTACCCTTCCCCCTCCTTTTAGGAGAAGCCACGATTTTCTCCCAGTTGTTTGTTTGGGGTTGCTTACAAGTTCCTTGAACATGAAAAATAGATATGAAATATGTTCTTAGTTGAATAAATGTATAAAAGAGTAAAAGGGAATGTCTAAGAATAAGAAATAAGTATGGAACAGAAAACATATTCTAAACCTGGGATGAGCTAGGAGAACAAAACATCTCAGTGTATGGATTAATAAAAAGAAGGTAAAAAGAGAGCACAGGATGAACCAAATGGTGTATATCTGGAGAAAAAGTTAAAGAGAAATGGGGTGTGGATGTTACAGCCATTTCCCTTCTATGTCTCAGTCCTCACTGACAGATTGGCCTCAGTCATCCAACTGAAGGGGACAGAGCACAGTTAATGTCAGTTCAGGAGAAGGGACACTCTGGCATGGCCTTCCCAAAGAAGACTTGTTGAAGACAGAAGAGTCAGTGGAATGAATATAAATGTGGAGATTTGAGTAAATTTGTAAAAGCAATTTTGAGGAGGTGTTGAGGGAGACACTAGAAATGATAATGCTTCATCTGGGCTGTGGAAATAATTAGAAAATTTAATCGCTCTACGTTAATAAAAATTGGTGTGATGCTGAAACAATGTGCAAGGAGATAGAATTTTAAGCACCTGAAATTAATATAGTATTGTACAGTATGTCAACTGTAATTGAAAAAACTAAATAGAAATTTAAAGTTTAAGAAAGCGACAAAAATATGAATATACTTCTATAGACCTTATTTAAACAGAGGCCACCAGCTACTTTCATTCCAAGGTGACAAGTGGTACATGAAAATCCCTTCAGGTGCTATGGAGAAAATGGGCATGGACGCTTCTTGTCTTTGGAAGGTAGCTTTGAGCACAAACATATGGCAGAGATGATTATGTCACAGGCTGGCTCATTGGTACCCATGTCTTATTTGAGTAACACCAGAGCTAACACAGACACCCCACCATTAACTCACCTGCCATGAGCACTGGGGCTTCTATCTGATTTGTAGCCCTTTATCTCCTTGGAATAGGTGGTTCATGGGAACAAATAGGATGTCCTTGAACTTGGTATGCCACACCCCTACACTAAATCTTTCTTGGGTGGTTAGACATCGGTGTCACACCTAAATTCTCTCTTCAGGTACCAGCTCATTTCATCCACAGTGTCTGTGGATGCTGATGTCACTAAAATCCCAGCTAGTAAATTTCAGGGTCTGAAAAGAAGGCGTCTCTATGATGTGACCAAAATATGTACTATGACCTATATGTGCTGATTCAGACAAGAGCCAGGAATGAGGCCACAATCAATCTATTAGTCCGTTGGTGTCAGGGGAACCAACAGATGGGAAGTATCTAAGAGATATGGCATCTTTTAAAATAATACTGAGAATCCCTCCTAACCTGCAGACATATCTAGACATATCTGCCAACAGTTAACCCACAACACTGCACAGCACTGCCTCTCTTCACAGAAAGGGCTCACACAAGGGGAGAGGTGGCTATGCCTTCCTGAGCCCTGCCCCTACCAGGGGAAGCTACTGCCCCCCAAAAAGCCTTTCTCAGCTCACCTTACTGGAGACAGTAAGAGTCCATCCCAGGACCTGGTGGAGGATGGCCCAGACCCTTTATCAGAATTCACCTGATACCAATCCGGCTTCCCTGGCACCACCTGCTGGAGGGTGATTCTCTCTACCTCAAACACAAGGTGGTCCTCAGGGCCTCTGTCCAGGGCCCCACAGGCTTTCTAGTCCATTGCATTTTCCCATCCCCACCACTCTCACCAGCAACAGCATTGGACTCTCCAGTCCTACTTTAATTTCCATTCAAACTGCTTTTCTAATTTCAGGTATTGGCCCTGAATTTCCCTTCTCAGGGCTCAACACCTTATTTGGAGTTATTTTATAACTGCATTTTATTGGAAACTGTCACCTAACTACCATCAGATTGCACACACTGTTTTCTCTGCCAGGTCCACCTAGCAAACTCATTCTTACCCTTCAGACCTCATGATTGCTTCCCAGGTTCCCCAGGAGGTCTCTGGTCATGCACACAGAATGGCAAAGGAATATGACAAAGACCTGGTATGGATACACAGCCAGATCATAAGGGAAAAGACCTAGGCAGAGTATGGAAGAATCTATATGAGATGTCCTACACTCCCTCCCTCCCATGAGGCTGCACACTTTCACCCCAGCTATGAAAATGCAGTCACCTGTGTGCAGTGTTGCTGCCCAGAGAAGCCCACCAGAGACTCAGCACACAGATATTTTTGGTGGCTGGTTTTATGGACTGAATTGCATCCCCTCAAAATTCATATGTTGAAGTTCTATGCCCCAGTATCTCAGGATATGACTGTATTTGGAGATAAGGTCTTTAAAGAAGTAATTTATGTTAATGAGGTCATTGGAGTGGGTCCTTTTCCAATATGCCTGGTGTCTTTATTTAAAAAAAAAAGAAAATTAGGACCCAGTCACACACAGAAGGAAGATCATCTGGCAACAAGGGGAGAAGATGGCCTGCTATAAGCCGATTGGTTCCTCTGAAGAAACCAATCCTGTTGATGCCTTGATCTTGGACTTCTAGCCTTCAGAATAGTGAGCAAAACAAATTTCTGGTTTTTGTCACCCACTATGGAAGCATTAGCAAACTAACACAGGTGGTCAAACAGGTACCCTTTCCCTGGCACATCCCAAAATTCCAGACTCAAAGAAGCAAAGTGGGTGTTCAACATAAACCGCATTGTGCCAGCAGCCTAGACACAATGAACTAAACAGCGGGGACACTACTGAAACCCAGATACCCAGATGCAATCCCAGAGCCTACCCTGTAAGCAGGTCCTTCTAAGATAGCTGTCTCAGGCTTGGTATGCTTTTTTCTACACACACACACACACACACACACACACACACACACACACTGACATTCCTATGAGGAAAAGGGGTGGCTTTCACTCTAGTCCCTCTACTAGTAAATTCTCTTAGAATCTGAGGATTGCTGAGGGATCATGAGTGTGGGCAGGGACAATGACATCAGAGATGATCAGCCTGTAACCTTGGCCTCAGAGAAAATACATTTGTGTCTCAAACCTGCCATGGGACTCAGGCTCCTCTGTGGCGTGGCCTTTTGTTTCCTGGGAGTAGGTGAGTCTGGGAAGTTGGTGGTGAACTCCTAACTTATTATTTCTAGGCCCTGGATACAAGACTTTTCCCTCATCAAGCTTCTTGATGACCTCCTTTTTACCTCCTTTATCCTCCTTTCACAGGTCTCATGAATGCAGAAGTAACACAAGTCCCAAGATATCTGATCAAAAGAAAGGGAGAGAAAGTGTTTATGGAATGTTTACAGGATATGGACCATGAAAGAATGTTCTGGTATCGACAAGACCCAGTTCTGGGGCTGCAGCTGCTCCACTTCTCATATGGGGTTGACATTTATGAGAAAGGAGATTTCCCCTATGGGTACAGTGTCTCCAGGAAGAAGAAGGAGGGCTTCTCCCTTATCCTGGTGTCTGCCAGCACCAACCAGACATCTGTGTACCTCTGTGCCAGCAGTATATCCACAGCGCTGCACAACCACATCCTCTCTGCACAGAAAGGGCATGTGCCAGAGGGAAGTGACCCTAACTCAGGGCTGAGTTACACTGGCTACTTTGAACAAAGGTGGCCACTCAGTGGAACCAAGCCCATGGGCGTACAATTTGGCCTGCAAAGCACAGGATATTTTTCATGCCCCATGCACCATCGTTTCTGAATTCGGGGCCATTCCGAAGTTAGTCTGACCAGACTTGTGTATTATCCCAAGTCTAAATTCATGAGACTCTACCCCAGTCAGGAGGGAACATCCTCACACATATTTACATGGAAGAAGCTCTGTTCTATCATTTTTTTTTTACCAATTTTTCTCTTCCTGTCTTATTCTTGTCCCTTTTACTGTCATTTGCAACTTTGCTCCATGTCTTTGCTCTTAACCAATGTTTCACTAGGGGGCATCACACAAGCTAAACTCCTTCTTCAGATGAATTTTATTCTCCCTATGTTGATTGGGAAAGCATGTGGAATTTGAATTCTGTTTATTCAATCTAAAATTAGAACAACTCTAATAAAAAGCAATCTTTCTCCATATTCTCTAAGTGGTCACTAATGTTTTACTAGAAACAGGTAAGGAATAAATTATGATGCAGAGGTTATAAAAATTAGGTTACTTCTGTACACATGATCATCTGGGAAAGTATCTGTGTATTTTAAAAATATATTTAATTGATTTCAGAGAGGAAGGGAGAGATAAAAACATCAATGATGAGAGAGTCATCCATCTGCTACCTCCTGCACAACCCTCAAAGGGAATTGAGCCAAACCATGACCTTCTGGTTTATAGGTCGACACTCAACCACTGAGCTACTCCAGCCGGGCATATCCCCGCATTTTAAAGAATGAAACATCTATCCTGTCTGTAAATAGTAATTGAGTCCTTTGGGAATACAAGAGAAATACTTTGCTTGGAGCGATGGATACACGATGCAGTGTGCAGATGATGTTTTGTTGAGTTATACACTTAAAACCTGTATAGTTTTGCAAGCCAATGTCACCCCCAAGAAATTCAGTGAAAAAATAAACATAGTAAAAGATTATAACTTCAAAAAAGAGTATTGGAAAGCTTGGTAGAGTTCACAGGTGTGTGCATTTGTCAAAACTTATTTAATGTTACTTAAGAGTTGTGTCTTTTACTGTATGCAAATTTACCTTTAAAAAGAATCATAAATAAATATTGAACATTAGTTAATTACATGCATGCTTAAGTGTTTAAAAGTGAAGTATGCCTTTAATTAACTTTTAAATGTATCCAAAATGTACATGGGTAGATGGATAGTTTTATGATAAAGCAATAAGTAGCTTTTTCAAGGTGGTAGAATCTAAGTGGTGGGCACATGAATGTTCAATATAAAACTTTAAACTTCTATAGAGGTTTTAAAATTCTCATAATAAAATGGGAAATAATAATGAGGCAAATATGTATGTTCTGATATAAACTAAACTTTTAAATGTATTGTTAAGAATACATTGTTAATAAAATAAGCAGCAAGGTATAGGAAGACCAATCAGATACTTGTAAACTTGAATAAGTCAAGAATATTTCTAGTAACAGACACAACAAACTTATTGACCAGTTGCTTCTGGGGAAGGTACCTTACTTTTTGCTCAGTTTTGTGTTTTTTGAAATTTTAACCACGTGCATGAATTCAATAAATAAATACATTAAAATTATATGATAACGGTAACCATGACACCTCTGAAAGAAAAGTCTAAAGACACGAGTGCTGTTTGAAGACAATGAAAAGAGAGAAGAATGTCTTTGCTATTGTTTTATAAAAGAAAGAATACCACTGAGAGGGAAAGATTTGGAATTCTTTAAAGACTAAGAGTCACTTGGTAATTTTTAGGATTTAGGATGAACTAGAAAAAGATCCTGGGTTATTTTGGCAGAAATTTTGATATATTTGATTAAATTTTTAAAATGTATCCCTAGATGTCAAGAAAAAAATGGGGTACTCTATACCTTTCATCAGTATACTAAGCAGGGTTTGTCTTAAATCACTCACTGCCTCTGGCACCGCCCATAGATGTACAGGCTGCAAACACACACACACACACACACACACACACACACACACACATGCCATAGCAGAAAGGGATACTGAAATATTATTATTTCTAACATGCTGCATTTCCTTGATCATAAGGTAAATTGTTTTTCCAGTTTCATATTTCCAAAATATGCGTAAATCCTGTAATCTATATTCATTTCTAATGTAATATTAACACCACCTAAAAATAGCCATTATGTTTTTAAGAGTTCATCTTACACAGTGGTTCTCAACCTTCCTAATGCCGTGACCCTTTAATACAGTTCCTCATGTTGTGGTGACCCCCAACCATAAAATTATTTTCGTTGCTACTTCATAACTATAATTTTGCTACTGTTATGAATCGTAATGTAAATATCTGATAGGCAGGATGTATTTAGGTGACCCCTGTAAAAGAATCGTTGGACCCCCAAAGGGGTCGCGACCCACAGGTTGAGAACCGCTGTATAATTAAATGGACTTTCTGAATCAAAGATATAAGGTAGGTTAGTTTTACAAGAATTTGTTTCTAAAGGTCCTTGTTTCCTTTATGGTGTTTGGCCTGTCATTCTCATTCATTCACTAGATTTTATTAAGTTCAGACAACTGCAAAGTGAGACCATCCTTGACAATATTGATATTCACATTGGGTTTTGAGGTCACATAGACATGGACTTGAGTCTTGCCTGTGTCACTTACACTTGGATTATGTGAACTTGGGTAGGTTATTTAAGATCTTTAAGTTTTCCTCATCTGTAAAAATGGGATGATAGTGCCTAAGCAGCCTAATTTATAGGCTGAAATCATACATGTGAAGCATGGAGTAAGTGCACAAAAATACTGGCTCCACTTTTATGAACAATAAAGTATTTTATTTGGAGGGAGGAAAACAGGAGTAGAGGCCAGTTTACTAGAGTACGGGTTGAGGGAGGAATAATGCGGATGGTTTGGGACAATGAAGACTCAACAGACAGTTGAAATTCTGAGTTATAAGATTCCCTCATATTCTAAAGTTTTCCTTTAGTTATTTGAAGTCAGTGCTGCATCCCATTTTTGCTTATACCAAAGGGTAGCACATACATGGCACTGAATAATGATGGATGGAGAGGTGGTGGACATATAGTGGATGATGGCAGTTACATACTGGGATACCTTGTGAGTGAAGAGTTACACAGTTCCACTAGGGGCAGACTAATTTTCTCCACATTTTGCAGAAACTCAACTTCCTATTTACATGAAAGGAACTACACAGTGGTGAGGAAAGATGACCTTGAGTTTGACTTCTCAGTGTCTTTTCTTATGTAAGAGGAGAGGATATCACCTAAAGATGCTGACTTTCCTACTACTTCTCCTAGGACAAGGTACAAGCCTTATTGGGTGGGGAAGTCTGGGATTAATATTAATGTTGACTAGAGGAGTAGAGGGTCTGAGGCCACCAGTCAGAAGATGGGGGGAGGAGGGGAGGGAAGATGTTGGATTATAGGATATGACAGAATAACAGTTGGCAGAACAAAATGGAGGCAGTGCCACAGGGTTCTTTGGGAGCCAAGGTGACATTGGAGCAAATAGTAAAAAGAGCTTCCTTCCTGGGGACAAGCTGGTCAGCGCTCATGGCTTTCTCTATCTCCCTGCAACCAGGCTCTGTGTTTGGTGCTCTCCTCTCTCAAAAGCCACTCAGGGACATCTGTCAACGTGGAACCTCGGTGACAATCCAGTGTCATGTTGATAGCCAACTTGCCCTAATGTTCTGGTACCGACAGCTTCCTGGACAGAGCTTGACACTGATTGCAACGGCAAATCAGGGCTCTGAGGCCACTTATGAAAGTGGATTTACCAAGGACAAGTTTCCCATCCACCGCCCAAACCTAACGTACTCCATTCTGACTGTGAACAGTGTGAACCCCGAAGACAGCAGCTTTTACTTCTGCAGCGCTGGAGACACAGTGCCGGGCACAGATCAGAGATCTGAGCAAGAACTTCAGTTTCCTCCAGCCCATCTCCCTCCTCCCCAGTTCTCATCCAGATGAGCTCTGTCGAGGCAAGCTGGAGGGAGGAAACCACAGCTTCCAGGCAGAGACAGATGTTTGTGTGTTTGTGGGTAAGTATGAGTATGAATGTGTAGACTGAGATGGAGAGAAAATGTGTAGGACTAGCTGGAGGGCCTATCCACAGACATGAAAGGTGGCTACTGGGAGCCTGAAGATAAAATCCTCCAGAAGAGTGCTTAGAAATGCTCAGTAAAGACAATCAAATATAGTTTCCCTTCAAGTGACAAGTTCATAAATACCCTTTAACTATTTCATCTCAATGCTATATTTAATCTGTTCTCTATCAATATAGTTCAGAAGGCCCTTAGTCATCTTGATAGCATACTGGCCCATTGCACTCATGGTATTATGCTGATTGTTCTTTGTGAATAGAAATTATAAAGCACTCTAGATGCTTCAGTATATGACATATGCAAATGAGAACAATGTAAAATCTGCAAAAGTTCAGGGACCTGCCACATTGGTGAGCTTTTAAGTAGTCCAGATGTGTGGGACATGTCAGAATATTCCCTCTAATATGAGAGATAAGTCTTATTACCATCTACTATGCAGAAAGAAGTGCAGTATTTCATGGGCCTCTATGGACTTTGGAATTAACATATACTGCAGTTGGGTGTGCTGCTTGGGTCCATTACTATGTCATCTGTAAGGCTGGCCCTGGGTGGGCACAAGAGAGTTGTGTAGCAGAAACAAGGTTGGGATGAAAGCGGCCCTGCCACCTGGGCCAGAGACCAAGCAGGCTCAGTTGTTCTTGAAGTACGTGAGGCCAATTGGGATGCTCTGTGAAGCCCTTGGCATTCCTCAAGGCTGATGCAAAGAGTTTTGGTGTAAAGCCTTACTTTTTCCACCTGCCAATAACTTGTTGTCCTTTGAAAACCTGCT